AAACCTGGTCTTTACTGGCAAGATTTCTATCAGCTTTCTGGTCTTTTGAGCTCTGACCAGAATCTCCCAAACAGACCCGCCAAAGGCGTTCTAGCGCTTCTCTTTTAGGTGACAACTCCAAACCTTTCCAAACACTTCCCACAAACCATTTTTAAAGGCCCTTGAACCACATGGTCAGATACAGTCACAGCAACGGCCCCACTCCCGGTACCAAATTTTGTCTTGGTTACTTTTTTTTTATTGCTGGAACAAAATACCTGACCAAAATTAAGGAAGGAAAGGTTTATTTTGCTTACAGTTGTGGAGGTTTTAGTCTGTACTTGGCAGATTACAAGGCAGAGTGGCACATGGCAGAGAGCTAGAGCTCATGGCAGCAGAACACAGCCGAATCAGCAAGCACACACCAGTGACTATCCACCCCAGGGCGGGTATAGCTCTCATACCCTTAATCAGACTTTAAAAGCCTGCCCCGTGACCGCATGAGGCTTTGAGGGGACACACAGACATAAACCATAACAATAATTTAATATGAAATTTTGTAATAAAAACAACTACCAAACTGATAACAGCCTGTTAAGATATGATCAGAGAGCCTTTTTGATCTCAGTATCTTTTGCAGTATCAATAGAATTGGAGTTTCAAAGGTATTAAGAGAATCTGATAAATTTCATTGTTTCATGCTTTTGAAGTTGGTAAACTCTAAAGCTTCAGGTACTGATGTATAACTCGAGTTTACAATGTGATTCTAAAGCATATTGTATAGAAAAAAATTTGCTGCAGAAGTAGTATGATAGTAAAAACATTAAAACAATCTAAATGTTTCAAAATAGATTAAGCTGTGGTAGTTAAGGAAAAGCTTAACAGGAAATAGTCCTCAAAATACTCATTGTCTCAGTTTAGATTATTTTTCTAATCTCTAGTCTTAATTTAAAAATTTAAAAAGTATTCATTAGATATGGGAGCAAAATTACATCATAACTTTCTACAACCTGTTTAGATATGATCTGAATCTGTGTACCATGATATAATCATTATATTTTCATTCATTCATTCATTCCTTCATTCAGTAAAAATTTTTTTTTTTTTGGTACTGGGAGTCAAACTCATAGCCTCGCACTTGCCAGGCAGGTGCTGTGCCACTGAGCTACATCCCTGGCCCAGTAAATGTTTTCTGATATGCTTAGGATACATTGTTCTGGAGGCTGAGATATTTAGCAGTGAACAAAATAGTAAGCCTGTGGGGCTTTTATTCTAATAAGTGGTAAACTTAAAGATGCTTATTAGGAGTATAGTTATATTGAATCCACATTCTTCTTGCCAACTTTAAAGGATATTTCTTGATTAGTAATTTTAAGGATTTTTAAAATCATACTTTTATCTTATAGCCAGTTAGCACTTTGCTATTTATATATTAGTTGAAAAAAATTCCATAGAAATTTCCAACAGTTCTCTCAGGATTTATATATGTAATGATAGGGATCCAAAAAGCACGTATCACTTTTCTCTTGACTCAGTTTGTATGTATTTATGCCTAGTGGAACTTTAAGCTTTCCCTTTATTTTGCTAGCTTTGAATTATGTGACTTTTCTACTTGGCTGTTTGTTCTTCTTTTGCTAATGTAAAAGACAAGGACTGAGATGGAAGGCATTTTATATAGATCTCTCATTGTCATCCTTGTCCCCCTGCCTGTCCCTCCCTACACAGTTTCCCTTCTCCCTGCCTCCCTTCCAGTCATAATGAGCTTAGCCAGGTCAGTGTATGGATGCCTTAAACACTTAGGTCCTTTTCACCAAGCTAATGCCTTTACTGTATTCTGGAGTCACTTAGAAGAATGACAGTCTAGATGTCATTTCTTCAGAGAAACCTCTTGTGACCTTCCCTACTGAGTGAAACATTTCTTATGTGTGCTGCCACTCCATGTCATATTTTTTCCCATCAGTAGCATCTGTGTGATATTGTACTTAGCTAGTAGTGGTGAGCCTATGGGATACATCCCACAGCTGACTGCTATGGAAGCATAGACCATAAGAGCAGAGACATACTTACCTTGTTCACCATTTGCTCTCCAGTGCCTAGTACAGGCGCCCAGTAGTGCACAGAAAATAAATCTTGAATAAGCGATGATCTTCATTTACATGAAAATACGTGCACAAGAAAGCAGGTATTTAGGTTCTTACCAGAATGGTTAAGTATAAAAATATGCTGTGTTAACTCTGAAACAAAGAAATCACTCATTTAAAAATTTTTCCTGCCCAACCATTCTCTTAAGGTCTCATTTATGATCGGTCCTAGGTGTCATCAATCTTACAGAACAAGTGCAGTGGGTCAAAGTCAATGCAAACATGACTGGCTATTACATTGTCCACTACGAAGATGATGACTGGGCAGCACTCATCCAGCAGTTGAAAAGAAATCCTTACGTTCTGAGTGACAAGGACCGAGCCAACCTCATCAACAACATCTTTGAACTTGCAGGGTAGAGTATTTTTGGTTTGGGTTGTTATAGTTTAGTTTTATTTTTTAAACAAGTGTTATTTATATGAAGAACATTTCAGAAAAAGAGTTTGAAAGAACTAGTTTGTATAGACTGTTAGTTACAATTCATTTTGGATTATTAGGAAAATATAAGACATGTGCTTTGCTTTCAGGGACTTTAGAAATGTCAGGTGAGTATGGTGGCCCACACCTGTAATCCTAGCACTCAGGAGGAGGCAGGAGAATCACTGTGAGTTGGAGGCCAGCCTGGACTACACAGTGAGCTCAAGGCTAGCCTGAATTGCATAGCAAGACCCTGCCTCAAAAAACCCTAAAAATGTGTTTGCTTCAGCAGCACATATACTTTAAAAAAAAGAAAGAAGCGTAAGGTACATGTATTGAACAGTTAACATAAAACAGGCAGGGGTGCATACTTTGCTGAATACATTACTTAGGACTTGAGGCTTTGTTATGTTTTGTGAGAGAATTCTTTTCAAGGTGCAGTTGGCCCCCATGTAAAGCTCAGTGCTTACTGGTTGGTTTGACCAACATCTCTGGAGCCTCTTCATCGGCGTACTGTTTGCCTTCCCAGCCACTTCACTGTTACAGAATCACAAAGCCAGGAGAGGAGTGGCCACTTAAAAGACATCCTCCGAACAGATTACCAGTTTAGGTTGCTGGTAGACCTGAAAGCAGGAGGAACACTCAAAAGGATTCCCTGTGACCACTCTTGACCTTCTCATTTTGGTTCATTTGTTGTGAAATAGCCTTCTTATATTTGCCATCACTGTTAGTATTTCCCTAAAATGATTAATTTTTCAGATGTACTCACTGTAAATTCACAATGGACCTTACCTTTAATAAGTTTGACAAGTTTTCATATAATAAAACTTTTCTTTCTGACTCAAATACTCTCTATATCATTCCTGCTCTCAATTTAATAAATAGGCATGATACTTTTACCAAATCAGTAGCAAATTAAGGTGACTTGAGGAACAGAAAGTGAGCTATTACGTATCTCTGTCTTGAAGTACATCTTTAACCTTGGTCCACGTGGATTTACAGATAATAATGTCAGGTAGAGCTGTAGAATGGCACTCTAAGCTTAAATGTTTTATCTTCAAGACTCCCCATCTAGCTGTACAGTTTCCAGCATGCAGAGTGTTTCTGTGTGTCTCAGAATATTCACTTTTCTGTTTTTTTTTATCTGTTAGCCTAGGCAAGGTGCCTCTTCAGAGGGCCTTTGATTTGATTGATTATCTTAGAAATGAGAACCATGCCGCCCCTATCACTGAAGCCCTGTTCCAGACAGGACTCATCTTTCACCTCCTTGAAAAACTAGGGCACACAGATCTGGCCTCAAGACTGGTGGTAAGTCTGGCTTTTTGCCAGTTTGTCTTGTTATCTGTCTTTAATGTTATTTTTCACAATTCATTCGGTGGGCTGAAAAAGCAACCAAATTCCATTTGTTTTGCTGATTGTGAAATCTTTGAATTAAAGTGTTATTGCTTACCATGAAGAGTTGATAAAGGTGTAATAGGAGGGAGTCTCACTTGAATGTCAGACTACAGACTTTAGACACTGCTGTGCAAAGTAAACTTCTCTATTTGAATTCTTTTTTCTTTTATATAATGAATGCTTTATGTCGGCCCATTTGCAAAGTAAATATCCCCATCAATTTGCTGGTGGTTGTTATAAAATGACAATTATGTTTGCACTAATAATAGTGCAAACTCCTAACTCCAACTTAGGAGTCTGGCCCACTCCTCTTCAGTGGGTAGTGATGCTGGTGGGTAGGAGTATCTCAACAGGCACTAAAGGAGCCTTGTTATTAGAGACTTCATCTTTCCATCAGGTGACGATTTCTGATCACCTGATCTTAGCAGTTTTTGTCTAGACGCTTTCAGTGCTAAACTATATATGAGTCTTTAAGATGATAAATTCTTTTTATCTGACCCTGTAAATCAGCATATTCTGACAATAGGGCTTGCTTTTTAAAATCAGGTTTTCCAGGGACCCGAGCAAAAGGCAGCTTTTAGGAAAAAGAAGAATGTATTGGACTAGAACTGGTAAAGGAAGGGGCTGGATAAAATCATTTTAAAACAACCTTTTTTCTGCCTTTATTGTTGACCTACTGCACATCTTCTGTGATGAGTTTTTTGTCATTTTCAGAGGAGAGAGCACATAGGGCAGAGGGGCCAGGAGTGATGGAAAGCATGCCCCTACACACACAAGCTTCTGATTTGACTCCAGAGGAGGCCCCACCCAGACCCGTGCTTAAGTGAGATGATTTCGGAGGCCTCTTCTGATGTTAAGGTTTTTATTGTTTTTGCTTTCACGAGTCTTTAGCTCGCAGCCCTAGCAAGTGACAGGAACGTAACCTGGCTCACCGTAACCTTCAGTCAGTGTGAAATACACCAGAAGCAAATGCATCTGAGTGCTTAGTATATTCTGCACACTCTGCTTAGTGTTTAATGCAGATTAACTCATTTAATCCTTACACATTGCCAAAATAGACATTCCTACCCCATTAGAGAAATGAGGAGACCAAATAACCTCCCCCAAAGTTGCCTATCTCATAAATTATAAAATTGAGATTCAAACCCAGATAGATTAGTTTCATTGCAGAGCCTACTCTCTGTGATATGTTGCTGCATTTTAAATTAATTTATATTCTAGCAGTGGCATCCCTCCAGGACTCCTTTTTGTTAGAAAAATTAAACCTTTCCTTCTTGCTACCATTTTTTTCTTTTTAAAGCCGAAATTTTACATTAAAGCAGTTTGAAAAGCTTGTAGGCCATATATTTAAGATTTAAAAGGACAAACACCCATCTAGTTATTTACTTGAAAATGAAGTTGTCAACTAGTGACATTTTTTGTATCTAAAGTGTTACTAACAGTATTAAATATTATTAAAATACTTTTTGTGTGCATTAGCAAAAAATATGCAGATTACTTCTCTTTAGGGTAACTTAGATTCTAATGTAGACTTTCTGTTGCTGGTACGTAAGAAGATTGGACATTTGTTAACCAGGTCAGCTGCTGATGGTGGGGCATATTGGCTTTTTGTGTTTTGGATAACAACACTATTATGAAAATTCTTGTATATGAGTATCCATATGAATTTCTATATGATACGCATCTGGAAATGGAATTGTTGCTTTATAACATGCATAGTCAGTACTGTACTATCAAATAGTTTTTCATAGTTGTACCAGTTTATATTTTCATTAACAGGGTATATAAAGTCTAGGTGTGCTATATCCTGGCCATGGCTTACTGTTTTTATAAATTGCCCTAGTCTTTTATTTTCCTATTAAACTGCCTGCTTTTGTCTTACTGATTTATAAGAGTTCTTTATATATCCTAGATATGAACCTTTTGTTGATCATAAATATTTGCAAATATGTTTTCACTCTTTTAATGATATTTTTGATTAATAGAAATTCCAAATTTTAATATACTTTAATATATGAAATCTTCACTAAATATGAAATCTATGGTGGGGCATATGTCTATTTTGGCAATGTGTAAGGATTAAATGAGTTAATCTGCATTAAACACTAAGCAGAGTGTGCAGAATATACTAAGCACTCAGATGCATTTGCTTCTGGTGTATTCCACACCAGAAGATATGCCCCACCATTTCTTTAATATATGAAATCTTCACTAAAATATTCTATATTTACTTCTGAAAACCTTTATTTTACCTTTTACATTGAAATCTATGATGGATCTAGAATTGGTTTTTGTATAAGGTATACTAGACATCAAGATTCATGATTTTCAGTATGGGTACCTAGTTAATTCAGCACCATTATATTTGATGTGTGTGTGTGCACACCTGTGCGTGTAATTATAGAATGTCTTTGGGCGTGATTAATGTCATGTCAAATCAACACCAACTGAGGAAGTTTATTAGTTTCCTACAGCTTCTATAATAAACGGTTACAAACTCCATGTCTAAATGTAACAGAAATCTATTCTGCCGCAGTTGTGGAGGCTAGAGGGCCAAAGTCAGGGTGTTGGCAGGATGGTTTGTCTCTTCTCAAGTGAAATCTATTCCCTGCCTCTCTCTGAGCTGCACGGGGTTGCCAACAATCCTTTGCGTTCCCTGGCTTGTGTATACATCACTCCAAGACCTGCTTCTGTCAACAGTGCTTTCTCCCTGTGCTTCTGGGTCTCAGTTTCTCTGTTCTTCGGAGGATGCCCATGATTAGATTAGAGCCCAGTGTAATTCAGGAGATCTCATTTTAACTTGATTGTACCTACAAAGACACTTGCCCAGTAAGATTATGTTTGCAAATTCCAGGTAAACTTGTATGGGGGTGGGCACTATTCAACCCAGTACAGGTATCAGTGAATAAGATTAGTACATGCCATTCATTTTCCCCACAACTGGATAGTGTTGTTTCTGAATATGCTCTAAGTGAAGGCACAACGTCTACCTACGCACAGGTTCGGCAGCTAATTTAGTTCCATGATGCCAGAAGCCGTTCTTCTCCCTCCCTCCTCTCTCTTGTAGCTCTGTTTAGATCTTCATCTCAGATACACACCTCAGACTATTCCTATGCTGAAAATATAGGGGTTAAACTCAGTTCAGAGAGTTGAATGTTTTGTTATTAGCACTCAAGTAACTCTTCTTCCTAGTACATCTTCATCCTGGATGATTTCCAGTTGTCTGGGCAGATCTGTTTTATTAGGAGCCGTACACTTCTAATAGGTACAGCAAGGTGGGATCCTGGGGACTGATGGATAGAGGACAAGAGCGAGAGGCAGGCTTAGTGTATGTTTCTAGAACCAGGGACTCGTTCACTGCTGTGAATCTTCATCTTGCTGGCTGAAAGCCAAATTGGCTTCAGTGCATCAGAAGGGAGAACCTGTTTCTTCAAAGTTCTTATTCTACTCTTAGGGCTTTCTGGTAGCATCCAAATACTCAAACTGTGAAACCTGACACTGTGGTTTGGAATTGAGATGGCAGATATTTGTACTCTGTGGATCCAGTGTGCAGATGTATTAGTGTTTAAGATTAGCGTCTGATTAAATTTTGTGTTACTGTAACCAAAGCATTCTGCACTTATTGCTAATTGTGGTATATGGCTGCACAAGACATATGCCTCATTTTATGATGTAGGTCATGGTTCTGTGAGGCCTGGGTCTGAGGGCATGTTTGAACTGTGTTAAATTGTTCGCATCTGATGTTACTGTCTGATGCTAGCCATATTCCTGTTTTATCACTTTCAGATCTGTCTTTCTCTTACATATGAGGCACTGGTGGAGTAAACCTTTGGCAATAAAGACAGACATATCACGTTAAAGCAACTCAGTTGACCCAGGAAAGAACTCCCTGGGTGTATCAGTGTAAAATTAAAGCAGTAAATCAAAATGTAATATATAACATAAGTGCCAACATCTTTTATTATCTGTTTTTTTTAAACCTTTTTGTGTTGTTGGATATCCAGTGTTTGTAGCTTATATAACCTATATGTGTCTCTCTCTCTGTACTTGCTATTTTTACTTTATTAAATAATAAAGTTAGATTGTATTGTTTAATGAGATTAAATTTTAAAAATTAACTTGGAAAATATAGAAAAATAGATTTCATTTTATTTCTGAAAGGGAAAGGTAATTTTTAGGACCACCTGCTATTCTTCATTAATATTAATTAATGTTAAAATTATAACTTTAATTACATATTAAAATGATCATATTTTATAACACCAGAATTTTTCTAAAAATAGAATTATTTATTTTTTTCAATAAAATGTTTATTAGAATTTGAAATTTATTTAAAACCAACTGTTTGGAGAACTCCTTTTAATGATTTCACGTAGAAACTAGCAGAATTTCACCCTGAAATTGCATGGTATAATGGTATCATGTAAGGAACTAACCATAGCATCTCAAGCATTAGGTTTTCTTTGCTTGTGGTACTTTAAAGTGCTATTTTTTCCCACTAACTCCTTTGTGTTTTTATAAATTCTCGGTGAGCCTTACCATGGTTCTCCATTGAGTTTTTAGAAATAATTTTTAAAAATATATAACCTTTCCCTCCTCACACTGTTTCTTTGTTTCTATTTGCCAGTTGTGAGTAGCTTTGAAGTTACTTTTATTCTTTTCTGTCTTTTATTCTTATTCTGTCATTTGGGACAGTTTGTATTACCATGCTTTGGAAAGGTCAGGGCAGTTGAAGACAGCATGTACTCACACAGTCAGGTGTGTCCAGTGGGATCTCCGGCATTGCTTTTATGTTCCTTGCATTATCAGTCAGCATGGCAAGTATTTTTCCACCTCACGTCCACCCAGTAACTCGCAGCTTTACCACTCATACACTCCCCAAGGTGTCTGTTCTCTATTCTTTAGAAAACAGCAAAGGCAGGTTGACATATTATCACATTTTGAGTCCTTCTCCCACAGATACTTTCTTCCAGTCCCCTGTTCCTCTCAAGAGACTTATTTAAGGTTATTTAGAGAAAATCTGCTGATAACATAGCCTCGACAGTTTAAAACTCTCCAAATAAGATTTATTTTAGGTGTTGACAAAGGAAAGAAATGAAAACATTGGTTTTTGATTCCTTAATATAAGTATACTTTTTGCAGTTACATCCTATTCAGAAGTAGCTATAAGAATGGGAGGGTTAAGGCAGTAGATGATATTCCTGAATAATTATCAGTTTTCTTAAGTGTGATATTTTAATTATGTAGGGGGATGTTCTTATTTCTGGGAGCTGCAAACTAAAAAGTGTTTATAAATTAAATAAGATATTTGTGGCTTACTCATATCTTTTAGCTAAAACTAGAAAGTATGTATGTATAGTGTTACATATATAGAAGCAAAGTAAGTGACAAGATGTTAAAAACTTAATCTAGATGAATAGTATATGGATATTCACTATTATTGCATTTTTCTGTAGGTTTTACAATGTTACTTAAAAAGTTGGGACAAATGGATTTTAAACAACTGTTATACTGGCAGCCCTCATTTATTTCACTAATTTGGTTAGATTAATTTGCTACAGTATCAAAGTGGTTGATATATTAAATATACTTTTAATATTTGATTGAGAAACTTTTAAACATCAACCATCAAAAAATATAAATTATATATATGTATTTTTTTTTCTTTTTGTTTAATGGGATTATGGATTCTAAAGTCATAGGATCAGAAAATTCCAACTTCCAGCAGTGGTTATAAGGAATATTTTTGACAGGAAAATAACTTCTAACTTAGTATACATTAGCATAACGTTTCTCTACCTTGCAAACGCTATTAATGCTTTCTGCATTGTATCCTTCTTGAAAGTCCTCCTTGGCTATAACAAACCTTATGTATTGGTTTTTTCTATTGAAAGGTCTTTATCCAGTTGTATGTGGGTTTCATGTGTCAGTTGATATTTAATGAAAGATATTTATGCCCCTATTTTCCCTCATGGGGAAAGGAATATAGCTGCCCTGATTTTCCAACTGTCCACATTATTATTAGTGTGTTATAATCCATTTTGTCTCTGTAGGCCAGGGTACACACGCTGCTTCAAAACCAAATCCGACAACAAACTTGGACTGATGAGGGCACCCCATCCACGCGAGAGCTTCGCACAGTCTTGCTGGAATTTGCTTGCACCCACAGCCTGGAGAACTGCAGCACTGCTGCCATGAAGCTATTTGATGAATGGGTGGCATCTAATGGAACTCAAAGGTGATTATGTTCCTGTTCAAATTAGTTCCTTCCTGGGCCATAAATGTTACAAAAAAGAATGTTGGTATAGATCCACTCTCTGCATCTGTGTTACCAAACAAGACATTAAAAAAACTTGTGGTCAAACACACATAAAATTGACCACCCTAACCGCTTGTTAGTGTACAGTTCAGTAGTGCTAAGTTTATCATGTTGAGTGCACCAATATTCAGAGCAGTTCTTTCCCTTGCAAAACTGAAATTCTTTATTGTTAAACAACTTCCCCCATAGCTGCTGGTAAAAATATTCTACCTCTATGAGTTCAAGTATGCTAAATATATATAGAAAGAAGGGGCACCAAAAATATGTGTAAATCATGAAAAGAAAACCTTGTATAAATATTTTAATACTAAACTTATTGAGGGGCCGATATAGCACAAGCGCCTGCCTGGCAAGTGCAAGGTCCTGAGTTCAATTCCCTGTACTCCCCCCCAAAAATACATAAATAAAATAAAATGAACTTATTGAGATATCATGAGATTAATACAAGTTACCTTTGGCCTCTACAATTACAAGATGTACTCAAAATGGTAGCCGTTAGCTGCCGCACTTTTATTAGTACAACGAACTGCCAAAGTATATGTACATTTTTTGGCGACCTCTGTACATTATGGAGTGAAGATCCAATATCAAATGAAAACTTGGGCTGGGGAATTTGAAGTCTTTCACAGCCGTAAAATCTTAACGAAGACAGTAGGCTGTGCTCACCTCACGCCCCACACATTTCCTGCTGCATTCACTCCGTGGAACTTACCCCATTGTATTGTACTTTGTATATTTGTTTCATGCCCTATATTTGGCAGTAACCCATGAGTTCCCGGCTGGCATGGACTGTGTCTCTTTTTTCTTGCCTGCCTGTTTTTTGTTTTGTTTTGTTTGTTGTTGTATGTTTAGACAGGAGCTCACTGTGTGACTTTCATTGACTTACCATGTAGCTCCAGGCTGGCCTCAAACTCATAGTCCTCCTGGCACTCCCAGTGCTGAGATCATAAGCGTGCGTTACCATACCCGTACCCAGCTACCTGCCTGGTTCTTCGTGAGAGTTCAGTGCATAATGGGAAAATAAAGAGTCACTGAATTACCTTTTTTGACTCTTGCATAATTAAGGCTTTTATGATTATCAACTACTGCTACTCTGCAAACACCACCTACAGTCAGCTCAGGGATTTTCTTATTCTCGTGTTTTACCATCTGTCTTCCAGCCTGCCTACTGATGTTATGACAGCTGTGTTCAAAGTTGGAGCAAAAACTGATACAGGCTGGTCATTCCTCTTAAGCAAGTATGTTTCCATAGACTCTGAAGCCGAGAAAAACAAAATACTTGAAGCTCTTGCCAGTTCAGCAGATACGCGGAGACTTTACTGGTATGCAGCCACATCAAAAATGTGTTGTATAGAAATCAAAAGATAAGAACCCTTTGTTCCTAGGCTAGGAGCACTTTTTCTTTGAGAGGTCCTTTTTCCTCCTGTTTTGTCATAGCTAGACCTGACTTAGTGGTGATATGTTGGGCTTTGTTTTGGGGATTTAACCTTTACAGATGGGCAGAATCTGCTTTGGAATCACAACTTCCTCCTGCTCCCACTCAAAAATGTCTTCTGCTTGATATGTTAACACCAGAGTAGTACTTCATTCTTTGGACCAAAGTATTACTCTATTCTGGTTGTCACTTTGAAAATGCAGATAGTTCAGAAAAGATTAATATGAAAAAGATTGCATGTTCTACCTTCATGTGAATGTATCTGTCATACTTTTCCATTTCAATGTCCAGTTGAAGACAGCCTGGAAATAATTTTCACATGGCTAAAAGGAGGGCAGTAATGAGGACCTCACCAGGCAGTGGCAGGTAGAGGAGCTCTAGGTAGCTAAGAGGACCATGAAGGTGTCTGGAGCTTAGGGCCCTGCGGTTCAAATTCACTCTAAGAGTAGATGGTGGCCCCTGGGGTTCATTGCTTCTCTCATGTAATTTTGCTCAGGTAAATCCTAATAGTGTCCCAGAGACATTCTCAGCACCTGCCCAGACCCACTTTCTCAAAGATGCACTGTAAATAGATATTTTGGTGGCCAGCCTCTGACCAAAGCAAATGGATACAACATTTTGAGTAAAGCATATTCAGTCTGCATACACATACATGTATGTGTGCATAGATTTATCCTATACCCAGTATTTTACATTATTTTTAATGGATGATCAGTCTTTGAGATTTGCCAAGTCACTTCATAAAGACTGCTGCATTTGTTTTTATGTCTGTGTAGTATTTAAAAGTATGGCTCTGTTATAACTAAGATCACTTATCACATCTTCTCAGGCGTTTGAATTTTTTTCCTTTCCTAAGAATGCTACCAGATGCTCTTTGGGATGTGTGTTTTCCCCAATGAGGGTTAGTATAGCCTGGTAGATAACAACTGCATACGTTCAGATGCTAGACTTCAGTATTTATTGGCTATTTATTGGTTGTATAACATCAGTTATACAACCTTAAGTTTCTTCAGCTATAAAATGGAGATATGTAATAAATGTTTACTTCATAGTCTGTTGTTTCTAGAACTTAATAGCATTACTTAGTACATAATATCAATAAATGCTATTAATAAGAGTCTATTCTGAAATGTCTCTTCACTGTCAAACCATTTAAACAGCCCAATCTTTTAAGAGTAGTTACATGCCTGCCTGTTCAAATCAAATGTGGTTTCTACCACGAAGAAACCCCACACATCTCCAGAATTGTAATAAATTCTGCCAAAATTTGTTTTCTAAATGTTTTTACTATATCAGAAACTATTATTGTGTGGCCGTATGTGAAACTGCCTATCTTGTTAAGTTCTTCCTTCATTTAAAAAAAAAAAAAAAAGCATTTTCAACCAATAGGTCACCCTTAACCTAAACTAACGCTTACATCCCTAGAATTGCCATATAGCTTTAGTTAAGAAACCAGTACTGATTTCAGTCATCGCTTCTTCATGAGTGATTATTTGGAGACTAAATCTGTTTTGATTTTCAGGTTAATGAAAAATAGCCTTGAGGGAGATATCATCCGAACGCAAAAGTTGTCATTTATCGTTAGGACAGTGGGCCGAAGTTTTCCTGGACACTTGTTGGCATGGGATTTTGTCAAAGAAAACTGGGATAAACTTGTACAGAAGTAAGTTTCTCAAAAAATGACTTCTAGTGTTCTGCTTTTGGAAAAGCAGTGCATAGCAGTGCTCCGGTGTTCTACATGTAGGAAAAAAAACACATGCTTTTTCAACATAACTGAAATACCCAGAATGTTTTACATTTATAAGTATAATTCCCAGGCATAGGTCACTTAAAAGTGATATACAGGTAGTAATCAAGGACAGGCAAGACTGACCCCAGACCACTCAGCGCCACACAGCCACAGACTGTTTCAGAGCAGCTGCTTAGTTATTCGTGTTGAAATAGCTCTTCATTGCAAAGGCATCATTTAGAACTCACACCTCACAGCATTAGAGCTAGAGAGCATATAGATTTCTTTCTCTCTTTCTTTGGAAGCAATCTTGATATTTGTGGGTGATGTGGTCTTTGAAAAAATCAAATGCATTAAAAATTTATCTGGCTATTCCAGACAATCCCCCCTTGACTGCCCATCTTTCCTTCCCACTCACAGTAAGTGTAATGCAGTGGTGGCAAATCTATGGCATGCATGGCCCAGTGGGCTGTGTGTTATCATTGAAAGCTCTGAAAGGTTCACTGGTGTGACTGCCCAGGCCCTAGGTACCAAGAGTAGGACTCCACCCTACCTTCGGCATTAAAATATTTGCTTTTCATTCAGAGACAGTGCTTTGCTGAGAGCAGCTGCCTCATTTTTTCTGCCTTATATTGTGTTTCTTCAGGTTCCATCTGGGGTCCTATACCATTCAAAATATTGTTGCTGGATCAACTCACCTGTTTTCAACGAAGGCACATTTTTCTGAGGTCGGTGATATAAAATGCTTGTAGGCAGACTAGAGAACTCTTCCCTCTCAGACTTCCCAGTTTAAGCCAGATGGTAGCTTCTCAGAATGATTCTTATCTCCTCTTTCTGTCTGCCTTCATCAGTGTTAATGATTCTGTATTGAGATTATTTTTAGAAAGTTGAACATGTGGCAAGGAAGAAAAAGAAAAATTCTGATTGCACTCTGAGCACTATTTCCTTGTCTCCCTGATACTAGCAATCTACGTGGTAATACAATCCAAAGAGTAAATTTACAGCACTAACCCTATTCAGACTCTACTTATTATTTCTTGAACATTACTTTGTTAAAAAAATTCCTCTTTCTGTGGAGTAAGGAAAATGTATTTTTAAAATCACTGCAGATGTCACCATGCTTGATTGAGAACTCCACATAGATAGCGTGGATGTTAGAGTATTTTTACTGCTTTCAGATGTCAGCATGGCCACCATAAATTAGAGCTTATTTTAAAGGATGAACAGAGGTACCAGAACTTTACTGTTCCTTTCTTCTTTTAAAATGCTTCTGTGTGGAACTTACAGGTCCAGGCATTTTTTGAAAATCAGTCAGAGGCAACCTTCCGGCTTCGGTGTGTCCAGGAGGCTTTGGAAGTCATTCATTTGAATATCCAGTGGATGGAGCAGAACCTGAAAACCCTGACATGGTGGCTATAGCATGCAAACTGCACTTCATCTTGTCACCCATTCAGAGAGCTTGTGAACTTGGGCTCTGCTGCTTTTGCAAAACCTGAGGTGAATCTAGGATGGCTGCCAGGTTGTTTGCACTCATAGGAGTTCTAGTAAGCTCAGGGCCCAACTGTTTTTCATCTGTCTTTTCTGAAATGTCTTTAGGCAGTGTTATTTATTACATTATATTCACCTATATGCCAGTCATCTGTAAAATCAGTGAATATTTTTTCTACTTTGAGGAAATGCCAATGGGGGAAAACTGGTTAGGGAACTCTTCTATTTCTCAGGACCTAGAAAATGACCCATACAGTGAAACAAGGAAAGGTCTACCACAACAGCCACCATCTTTGCAAGCTGCTGATGTGTTAGCTGTTTGTTGCTTCTTGGTAGATGCTATTGGAATGTGGTACAAATTTAGCCTCAAAGAGTACCGGAATGAAGACGCTGAAACATCCGACTGTAGAGAACTGATCTCAGGTGTGCAGATCTACTTGCATTTGGTATTTTGAGTAATCCTTTATTTTCTGAAAAAAGTTTAAATAATACCTATAATAATTATATTTTTTCTGCAGAATAGTCAGGTGCTACAGAATTTTTAAATTTTTTGTTGAATAGCTAAAGGAGGTCAAAAAGTTAAATTGTGCAAGTATTTAACACTTTATGCTTTATATTATATAATTTTACCACATGAGAATATTCCAGACTGAGTTAATTGTAATTATTTTTTTTTCTTCAAAAATGCCAGTATTCCCTCAGGTCTGAACACAGTCATCACTCCTGCCCTAGACTGACTTTATGTTGTGAATAAGTATTTCTGTGTTTGTGGTAAACATGCTGTAAACACTGGTATTTTTTTGTCAAAGCCTTTGTCTTCATAGATTGTAGACACTTTTTCTCCCAAACATACCCTTCTGTACATTTTCATTTTATATGCTACAGTGGCATATTGGAAGCCTATTTTAAAATAGGGTCTTTGAGAAGTTACAAATTTTTAGTTGAAGTTCACCATAGTACCTTAAAGGAACAAAGGAGAATGTGGGATAAGAGTGAGTTGAATTTACGTTTAGTATGGTGGGCTCTGAGTTTTTTCCACTATTAAAAATATACTTTTCTTTGGTTGAAAACAGAATCATAGTCTTTCTTTTATCGTGGCCAAACTAGCATTCCATGGAGTGGCCAAAGAAAGAAAGAAGGAGAAATGAGAGAAGATATCCAAGATCATACGGCATTTTTATTCCTTCTGAAGGAAAAATACTGTACTTGAATTTTTTGAGCTATGCAGACCTATATCTAGATTGTTGCGTTTCTTTGTTTCTTAGGAGAGAAGTTTCTTCGTGATAACTCTTGAGAACTTTATATTTTGTTTAAAACAGTGTCTGTGTACATAAAAATCGGAGTTACTCATTTATGAGCATTTGAAACACTCCACAGAGTCAGACAATGGGAAAGATCCCCTTTTTTATTCAGCAGATGTAAAGTTAGAATATGTGGGGTTGTGTATAAAATTCTATTTTATTTTATGAAAATATTTTTATATAACAAAATTTCAAAGGCTTTCAAGCTAAAAGAGCCTGCTTTAACCCTAGTGCGCTTCCCCCAGCTTAGTCTTTTCTAAATGTTTGTCCCCTGTTTTTGAGCAGAAAATATTTTCTGAGAATCACAGAAGCATCTATAGACATTGAAACTAAGGTGATAGATTTTTATTCCTCTCATGATTTGGTAAATGAATGATAATTAAGTAGATATTGAAAGTTAGTGTGATTTTTGTATTTTCTGAGTGAAGGAGAACTTCTAAATTTTTGAGGATTTTTGGGTTGTTGCTTTTTTTTGCCATGTTGTATTACTAATTTCCACTTTAATACAGAATTTAAATTTTGCTAGTTCTCAAAATCAGTTAAGGTTCTTCATTTTTACCTGCCCATCTTTACATTACTTTTAAAATATGTTAACTCTGTATATGGCAAATCTTGTCTTAAATTATATAATTTTTTCTCTCTGTGTGTGTGTGTGTGTGTGTGTGTGTATCAGAGAGAGAGAGAGAGTGTGTGTGGTATGGGGTATTACAAATGAGACATTATCAAAATGTGGGCTAAAAAGGTAACTCATGATCCATTGCCATCTTTATACTCAAAGGTCGTTCATTCCTGTGATACTGGATAGGTAATCGCAATTTTATTTCTGCCTTTCCTCTCAATTCTTTCTAGTTTAGTAGGCCTCACCTAAATTTTTTCCATGCAGTTCCATGTTTAATGTTATACTGACCCATTTATATGGGACCTCTTGAAACTAATTCCTAAGTTAGGAATACAAAGTTAAGTAAATGTAGAACTTACAATTACTGTATTGGCAGTTTTTGCATTTTTTTCTCAAAAACTTTCTCTTGTGCATATGTGTGTGGGAACTCAGATTGAAGCACAGAAGTCACAATCTGCTTTTTATATAAGCACAGATTCCTGCTACAATTGAGTACTTGAATGTAGGACTTGAATAAGTTTTAATTGCAGAGAAATGGTCCACAATATGAATGTAATATGAACGGTACATGATAGATTATTAGGGAAGATTAAATTGGAAATCTATAGTTACAGAAGGAAAGAGTTACACTTCAGAGATTTGAAAAGTCATGAAAGTAGGTATTGGAGGGGTCCAGTTTGTTCTGTTAAATTGAAAACAATTTTATGTATTAATCTGTAAGTAGTGGCAGCTTCCACTATAAGCTTGTGCCTTTATCTTGTTTTATTTAAGTCTCTTCAAGTGAAACTGTGCTGTCATTGTTTCAGAGTGCAAACTTTGTATCATAGGTTCTACTTAAGTTCTAGTTTTTCTTTGACATAACTGTTTTCATTTTATGGGACTTCAGCTACTGTGAAAACAAAGGAGCTATCAGAGGAGGCCTAGGTACAGGGAGCAAATCAAGCTGCTTCAGTGTGACTGGGCACCAAATAGAATCCTTTCTGAGTACCTTCTGGGAAGTAAGAAATTAGAGTTAATGGCTCTGTTTGTTACAGTACTAATAACCTAGTATTGGATTGGATTTTAAAAGAGTGTATTCAGCTTATAGTATCTGGGACCATAGTCTACAGTCAGGGTTCTGGACATTTACATAATTGCCAGGCATGTCACAGAGCTGTGGAAAGGTATAATGCCTCTCAGATGTGTCGTCACCAAGCAGAACAGTTCCTGGGCTGGACTACAAAGCTAGAGCTGTGTTGGATTACAGAGGCATACAGAAGAACTAGGGTTGTAGGTAGGATGCACCTCTCCTCACTGTTGCCTTCTTTACTGAAGTTTTCATTGGAATTAACTCACTTTTGAAAAAGCTTTCCCCTCCCATTTGTATATTTTAAAAGTAAGGTAGACATTTTTGCTGGGTTCTGCATTTTTTTTGTTTTGTGCTTCGTTCTCTGCATTGGCAAGTAGTACATGAAAAGTGGAGGTCGACCGTGCGATAAAATGAAAGTAGAAATTGGAGGGGTATCCCTCCTCACCCTTTCCCTTAGTGCTCACACGGGCAACAACTAGTAGAGCAGTTGAGCGATTTTTTTGAGTGTTTCCTGGGGGGTAGTTTTATAAAATGTACATGTGTGGCTTTAGATGTTTTTATAATTCTATAAATTGTGTGCTAATAAAAAGTGAAATATTGTCCAATGAAAGTCTCCCCTTTCCATATCACCTGTCAGAGGCAGTAGCTGCGAAGTAGTGCAGTATTTGTTTTCTTTCTTTGAAAGAAGGCAGTTGTGTTGGGCGGACAGCTTCTTTTAAAAGTGTGTGCAGAGGATTTGCTGCTGTTCTGAGAGTGCTGTTTTATTTTGGACTGCCTTCCTCCCTCTGGTGGACGTGTGTACAAACCATGGCAGCCCGTGAGGATGGCCTTGTCCCACTCCCGCTCTTCCTACTGCCTGCATGGACAAGAACTAACGAAGTAGTCCCCAGAGCTACTGCTTTGATCTAGCCTGAGGAAGGAGGTTGTCTGTCATTCTTTCAAGTGTATACCAATGTTCTGCCACTTCTTAATGTTTCATTTTATTCTTGTTTCTTTGCATGGATGCATGTGTCCTTGATGAATATTGGGGTTCAGAGGATGACACATCTCTTTTCCTTTGTTGCCTCTGGAAGCAATAGCTCATAGATTAGTTTTGTGTGGGGTGACGGAGAGAGTGGGGATGTACTCGGTATATAAAAACACACTTGCTACTGCACTGTGTTACTAATTCATTTTGTGCTGTGTCCCTCTCGTGGCTGTGAAAGTACCTATGGGACGTGGAGGTCTGGATGTGTGACAGTTGCTGCCTCTTCCCCCACCTCTGTTGCGTTTTGGGCAGTAGAGAAGCAGAGTCAACAGGGGCAGGGTGTTTGGGCGGAAGAGATGGGGAAGCAGGGAGGTGTACTAATGTTTGTATATATGTACATATCTGTTCTCAGTGCTCTATTGCATTAATTCTTTGGGTACCCAGACTGGAAGGTACCTAACGGACCATAGAGTTTCAGATGTATAACGGTCTCCCCTTCTCCTTTCCCTTATTGCCTGTTTGGGCAGTACCTCCTAGAGTAGCTCAAGTTTTTTTAAAATTTCTTGCCAGTGTAGGAAAAGTGGTTGTAGAATAAGAATATATACTTTTAAAATGTATATAAATGTTTTTATAGGTTTTTTACTTCATATCTGTCCTTTACATGGATATATGAAGAAAATTGAGGATCATTCTATGACAAGTCTCCTCTTCTCCTCCTCCCCATGCTGCCTGTGTGGGCAGTGTCTGTAGAGTAGCTGAAGTTGCAGTGCTTCTGTGGGTATCGGGGTATATACTTTCTTAAATGTGTGTGTATGATTTGCTTCTATTAGAGTATTTCATTGGGTGCCAGTCCGTTACTTGGACATGGGAGTTCCTGAGAAACTGTGGGGCTCTAGATGTGTAACAGCCTGCTCTTCTCCCTTTTCCTTTTGATCTGTGTGAGCAATAATTTTAAAATATTTTGAATTTTTTTAAAGTTGGGGCTAATAGCAGGATATGTGCATTTTTTAATGTGTGTAGTTATGTGTGTGTGTGTATGTGTGTGTTTACTAGTTATTTCATTTTGTACCGAGTCCTTTGCATGGACATAGAGGTACCTAATGAAACCTGGAGGTCCGGATGTATGAAAATCTCCTCTTTTCCCCTTCCCTTATTGCCTCAATAGGCAATAGTTATAGTGTAACATAGATCTTTTTAACTCCACCCACCCAGAAGAATGGGGTATGTACTTTTATATCTGTATATAAATATTTTTGCTCCTTCTTTCTGGCACTTCATTTTGTACCTAGTCCTTTCTGGCACTTAGTACATAATGAAAATCAAGGTTCATTCTATGAAAAAAAATCCACTCTTCCCCTTCCCTGATTGCCTGCCTGGGCAATGGCTAGTAGAGTAGTTGTTTGGGTTTCTTTGGCAAGGATGGGGGTGGGGGGTGGGGGTTCGTGTTTTTTAAATGTATATAAAAATGTGTTACTTTTTCATTCTTGTACTCCCAACCACGTTTTTTGTTTGGACTTTTAGGTATCTAGTATAATGAGAGGCTCGGACTGGAGGTGTGGTCCAGCTTTTTCCCTTCTCCTGTACCCGGGGTGTATAGGGAATAATGTATGATTACTGCAGGGCTTGATTTGCGTTTTTAGTTTTTGTGGTTTTTAATGGGGAATAGTTGTTAGAAAATATTTATATTTCATTACATATGTATATATTAAACTATAATATGTGTATGTAAATGCTTTTGCCCTTTTGGGGCGTTAACTTCATTTTGAATTTGATCCTTTGCATGACTATTTAGATAGTTAATGAACATTGAGATTGACTCTATGAAAAATCTCCCATACTCCCCATTCCTGATTGCCTGGCGGGCAATGGTAGAATAGATGTCTGATTTTTTTTGGGATGCAGGTCTAGATGTATACATACATATTTTTCAATGTATATAAGTATTTGTTATATTCTGTGTGTTATGTCTTGTAGACCCCAGTTCTTTGCTGGGATGTGTAGATACGTAGTGAAATATGACGGTCCAGACGTATGATAACTCTCCTCTGCTCCCCTTCCCTCATTGCCTGTAGGGGCAATCGTTTTATAACTTGGGGTTTTTTGTGGGGAGGGACCTTGGGATGGGTAATGATTAGGGGAAATAGGGCATATACTCCTTTTAAAACGTCTGTAAATATCTTTATCTTATTGATTGGGTACTCAGTCCTTTGCATGGATATAGAGGCACCCAATGAAAATCGAGGATCAGTGTATGACACATCTCACATTCTCCCCTTCCCTTGATTGCCTTCGTAGGCAATGGTAGAATAGTTGTGTTTTATTTACTTATTTGTCTGGAAAGGTTGTATATTTTTAGTATCCTGAATAAGTGCAAATATATTTTCATTTCTTTATTTCATTTTGTATTATTTCTTTGCATGGTTGTGTAAGGACCTTATGAAAATAGTTTCAGAATATGACAGAGCCCTACTTCCTTTCCTGCATATTTTCTCATGTAGCAATAGCTAGTATAGTTCTTTTTGGTTGTTTTATTTCCTAGGAGATCTATATCTATATTTGTCATTTGTTTCTTTTCCCCCTCATTATCTTCCTTTAATATATCCTTTGCCGGGCTCTAAATGTACCTAAAAACACACAGGCTCACTGGGTTCCAGCCATCTGCTGGAAGGTGTGGCAGTGTGCGGGTGTGACTAATGGCAGCAGGCATGCGGCAAGTCAGCCTGCAGAGGACCTTTGGGTATGGTGAGCTGTAAGAGCTAATCGCCCCAGCACTTTCTGGGTTAAGCTGAAGGAGAAGGTAAAAAGGGGCCTCCACTTTTGTAAATATCATAAAGGCAGAGGGCAGTACTGAGTAAAAGCGTGTTTAAACTTCCTTGCTGGTTAGTGTTCCAGTAACGGGTGAGCCACTGAAGCTGATAAGCCAGCAGTAGTGTTCACAGCAACTCCCTTGAAGACCCTGAAGAGTAGCTCCTTTTTGTGGCCTGAAATTTGGATCCATCTACAAAACTCTGGTGCAGTTCCATCAGTAGCATATTCTTGAGTATCCAGTAGAAATGACTTTTATTCTTGGAATGAACCTTTTGAGTTACTGTCATTGCTCTGGTGAACGACAGCATGGACCCTAAAACTAATCCAGAAGAAATTTTTGGCACAAGCCCTTTCTCTCTTTCAACACCCACATGTGGCAGAACATGTCGGCCGCTTCCTACCCACAGCTCTTGTGTGGCTGCACCCTCTCCTCCATTCTCCATTAGCTGAACCATTTTCTGCTCGTTTCTCCCTTTCTTCAGTGCCTGGACTGGTAAATGTTATCTTCAGTTGTACTCAAAAATTTAAACCAATGCTGCCTCCTAACTCTTGTATTTTTGTGTGCATTTCACGCACCCAGGCCTGTGTGCTTGCTTTCAGCATTCTTATATCACATTTCACATTGTCTCTTCGTCCAGCACATGGTAAATGTTATGACTACACATTAGTCTGCAAATCAAATCGAATGCATGTGTAAGCCTCCTTCCCTCACTCCCTCCCTTCCTTCCTTTTAGCATTTTAGCATTGTTTGTTTTGTTTTCACATGTATAGTGATGCTGAAGATTTGCCATATCATTATTTAAGAAACATTGAGTGATAGGACTCCTAGAAAATTTTCAAAATGTTATTTACTATATCAAACTCTCAGGTTCTAGTGTTGAAAAATTAGCCTATATGTTGCTATTAATTATACCTGCTGCTGTAGAAAAAATAAAGTTTATTCATGACACATTTAACTTTGATCCTAAGTAAGAGAAAGGGGGCACCTTTTTGGAATTAGTCATGGTAGTCATTAGTGATATTTTTGAACAGTTCTTAATTTGAAATACTTCAAAGGAAGTAAAGGTCATGGCTTAGCTGAATGAAACGCTCCAGAAGTCAGACTGCATAAACCATCAGTACAGTAATACATTTGTGTGTATGTGTATATAAAATGAGAATTACAGCATAATTGGAGTATTTGCATTAATCAACAAGCTCGTGTTGAGACAAACCTTAGTCTCACGGCTGCCTTGATTAAAGCCAAGTGTTCCACGTTGCTGTGAAGAATAGTCTCCTTCAATACTTTGGAAAGTAATTACTCGGAAAACTGTAAATGTATTACATTTTTGTATTTAAACACCTATAGAGATCTTTAATCCCTTCAGTCTGAGCTTGTGGATGGAATTCTAAATTTGTATCATAAAAATCTTCTTTTGTGAAAGATTTTGAAAATATGTATATATAATGTTTATGCAAATTGTGTTGTTTCACTTGTAAAGGGAAAGGCTTATTTTTCTTTATATTTCTGATAATTTGTTTTGCATATGACCAGCACTGATTGAAAGGCATGTGTAACTGCAAACACTGTTGCTTTTTTTGTGAAATAAAAAGTATTTAAATACAAATATTGTGTCCACGCCTCAGATTTTAAAAAATACAGCTATAGTGGTGCATCCTCTCAGATTATGAAAGGAAAGCTCTATATTGTCTGTCCTAATTCTCTTCCTAGCTTTCCAGTACCCCCAAGTACTTACTGCATATAACCTGAGGTTTCTCAAACCTACACTGTTGACATTTGAGCTGGATAATTCTTTGTTGTCGGCAGCTAGCTGTCCCGTACATCATCGGCCCTTACTGATAACCCTGGCCTTTAATGCCATTTGCAACTTGAAGCCACTAGATGCTATTAGTAACTCCTCTCCCATACCCATTGTTGTGACAGCAATGACAATCGGACTGAAACAGTTCTTGCAAACACTCAACCCTCTAGGTAGCAGTAAGTATGGTAATAATACGTACTTGAATCCAAAGGAGACATCCAAATGAGAACTGCTTATGCCGGCAAAGCCAAGAAGCACACTGTGTTAGACTGAAGATACAGCATTCCTTGCTTTGATTCACGTATAGCTGGAGTGTGCAGCATTTTTGAAGGGACACTGCCACAGTTATGTTCCTGGTCAGGTCTCTATAAAAAGGGGATTATTTGTCCTATCCCACTAAGTAGTCCTGAGGGAGCATTGAGAATTTCTTAGGCTTCCAGATATGAGTACTAGGAAACAATTGAACTAAAATCCATTCTAAGTCTTTTGAACACTTGGTTCCAATAGATTTTTTTGGATGGAGAGTAATAACCTTTTCCCTATTTTCCAAAATCACTTGGAGAACTCATAGTACACAAGAATTTGGTTTAGTTATATATATATTTATGTTGTTTCCCTTCTCCCAGTTCTCACTATAAAGCTTCCCCTCTCCCAACACACACAAAATCAGCAGTTTTTACTAAAACTAGTGTGCAAGTTACAGTTGACTTAAATGCTGTAGAGGTGTGTTTTATTATCAGAGAGCAAAAATTACTTTTAAGCTTTCATCCCTTCTAGATTCAGTAATTGGTGAAAAGTTTCCAATGCTTGTGCTTTTATACTTTTTTTTCTTTTTTGATGAATGACATCCAGTCAACTGGCCAAAGTCTTGTTGAAGCTAAATACACATTTGGGAGCCTTGTGAATTTTGTTGGCTGAGCTTAATTATATTTGAGACTTTTATTTACACACATAGTAACTTCCAACCTCAATTTCACACTCATAAAAGAATGTCATAGCATAATAAAATAGAGTTATTAAAGTTCAACTGTTGACAAACAGGCAGAACCAGGAGGCAGTAGAGTGAAAGGAAGTCTGGAGAGGAGGTCACATCAGCACAGGAGAGTCAAAAGGTGTCAGTGTGTTGTTAGTTATGGAGCATTTCCATACCAGACAAAGGTGAACACTGAATGTTTGCTGATACTGTTGCTCTTCTCCCTTGGGAATGTAGTAGAAGAGATCCTTAGATGCTATGTACAGGATTTGGATTCAGTAGCTGTTTGTATCCTCACATTCTTTGTCTCAAAGATGTCTGCATTTTTTAATTTCAGCAAAAATATAGGAATATTAGTTATGATTTAAAGGGTAATGATTTCAAGAAATTAAAATGTTTGAAAGGTGTTAGAACATAGACCAGCATCGATTAGGAAAGGATCTGTTTTCTGGTCCAACTATTTTCCACCTAAAGAGAGAGTTATTAATTCTTTTTAATCTTAGTTTCCTCTACTAAGAATCAGGATACTACTCACTTAACCTTGTGGGATTGTTAGCATTAAAATATCTGTAAATACTCCTAGTACAATGTCTGGCACAAGCGTAGTTAACTGCTGTTGCCCACTGCTTTCTGAGATATTTGGATGCAATATCTTCCATTACCGATGGAAATAGATTTTTTAAATTGAATAAGGTTGTATAACTTGCCAATTAGGATTACAGAAATACAATCTGTTATGGTTTGTGTCTAGATGTACCCTCAAAGCCTCATGCATTCCTAAGTGGGGCTTTTTCAAAGGTGGTTGGATCTAGAGGGTATGACAGTGATTAATTTACACTGCAATGCTAGGATCAAGGGCACTAGGATTAACAATGTGAGTCCTACCTACCCTAAGTAGCCTGGATAAGATATAAGGGCTAGAAAGAACTGGTTGTCCCTCACTTGCTTTGCTACCTTCTGCCCACCATGAACTATTTCTCCTCTGCAATGCCTCTCTGTTAGGCCAGACTGCCTTCGAGTCAGCCAGTTATGGACTGGAACCATAGAAACTGTGAACCAGATAGACCTTTCCTCCTTTAACTTCGGCTGTTAGGTGTTTTGTCTCGGCAATGAGAAAACTAACTACGACAGAGTCTACTTTTTATAAATGTAAGCCTTAAATTTGCCAAGATTTGATTTGGTTAGAGGTGTTACAGTTATACTGGTTTCACAATGGAAATTTTGGTTCATTATAAGTATAAAACTTAAGCCTGAGTCTTCTGATCTACAGTGTGAGTAGTAAAACAGTTTGCAGTAAAAACATGAGGCACAGATAAATGGGAAAATAAAGCCAGTGCTTCATAGGTGGTCAATAAATCTTTCAGTTTACTTGTCTCAAATACCCAAAAGAATGAAATACACGCATCTCAGTTCTAGTAAGAAAACACTTGCAAATTATGCGTTAGCATGATTCAGAGATATTCACCAAATCTTTTAGGATCTCTGAATATTAGTGTTTTAAGTAACTTTCCATATGACCAAGTCTAACTCCTTCTGGTACACAGACTAAGGGCACCAAAGATTGCACCTTAGCTAAAATCCCACATAATAACATTTATATGTGTTTAGAAACAGTTTGTATCACATCTGAGAAGTGCTATACTGTTTACATGATATTTCCTTGGAGAAAATAATACTGGAATTTGCTACTGAAAAAGGTATATATTTCATTGATGTTGAGTGTGGAGCTAAATTGAACTAAATTTTTTAACACAACAATGTGATAATGTGAATGATTCAGATATTGTGGTCTCAAAAGAGGAAGTTTTTTTAATATGTTTAAATTAAGGGTATTGTACTAAAATTCCCTCATTGGAAGATACTAGTATCATTAGGTTCAGACAGACTGTCACCACCAAGACGGATGTAGCAGGGTGAAAGGCTGGTTACTATTGGTGAAGTGACAGGTGCCATGATGTTTCATGATCTGGACAGATGGAACATAAATATAAGCTTCACTGAACAGGTAGAAAATTAAAATGAACGAAATAGTTTGAAGCCAGCCTGAGGTAGACCTCTGTCCTCAGCCATACATTACTGTTGTTTTTGGTTTTTCAACAGATCTACTGTTACCAAATAGGGAACTTAAAGAAGTTCACATTTATGAGAAGACAGATAATATTAAAACAAAGAATTTCAAAATCAATGACTATGCATTGGCTCTTTCCTGAGAAGGCACATTGTGGATGTACAATGCCCTGCATGTATGTCTATAGTCTTGTATCTTCCCTGAAAAGAAAATTTAGCACCGCTTCAAGATTCCTTCACAGCTGAGTAGGGTGGCACAAGCCTGTAATGTCAGCGCTCTGGGAGGCTGAGGCAGGCAGACTGCACTTTCAACACCAGCCTAGGTAATTTAGCAAGAAACTGTCTAAACAAAGCAACAAAAACAAAGGGATGTATGTCAGTGCAAAGGCCTTGGGTTCACTTCCCAGTACCACCAGCAAAACAAAAATTCCTACCTCCAAGTGCACTAAAGCCAAAGCATTAGTTAACAACACAGGTTTTCCGAAGACATTACCTTGTAGAGTCTAAGAACATTTACCCTCCCATGCCACACAGACGGCTTCATTCTCAATTCTCTTCTCCAAAGCTTCTTTATCTGGCCACTTCTAGATTTCTGGAATATCGTTTCACCTGCTTTTCACACACACACACACATAGGCCTTGCTGACTTCTCGCTCCTGCCGCTAAACATCCCCTGACTTGACTTCTTTCTGTCCTTTGGAACATTGCGCCTCAGTGTCTACTTCCATTTGCACATGGCCAAATGCATCAGGAGTGCAACAAAACTCGGGGCCTGGAGGTAGCCACTGGCCCCACAAGTTTAGAGCAGCACCCTGCAGCCTTTCCTGCCATTGGACATAGTACTTCTGGGAGTTTGGCTCCTTAGTGCCAGCAGCTTATCAACTACTTACATCGAACACGTTGTACTCGGGAAACTTTATCTCTTTCAATTGGCAACAGATTTCTCTTCTGAACTACGCTTTTCCAGGCTAATATGAAAATTAGTGTTCAATAACTGAGGACATCCTGACTGTGGGTGAGAGGAAGCAGCCATAAATTGAGAAGAAGAGAGAAGCCAAGGCATACTTGTAAATGTCCTTCATGGATCATGTAGTCAGGAAATATTGCCTCTGCCATGTGTGTGCTGGATGGGCACGTGAGGCTCAGCTGTCATGGCAGCACTTGGCACAGGCAGGAGAATGCCAGCTGGGTTTTATAAACACTTGCTGCGTGGAAGATGTGGAGGGTTGGAGCCTCCTCCATTCATGAGGAGCAGAAGCAAAGAACATTCTAGCAGGAGACTTATGCTAAGGCACCGGTGTTGCTTCAGCCCACCTGGAGCCAGCACACCCACCTGAGAGGGCTGGACTTGGGGGCCACTCATGCCAGATTCCCCCCCTGCACATGTGGGTGTGCAGTGGAAGACTCGAGAACCTTTCAATAAGATGCTGCTTACATGCCATGTGTAACAGCTGTGTCACTGGGGACCAAAGAGAGACACTGTTGATCCGCTGAGTGCCCGCACAGGTGTCCATTCCTAAGGCTGTCCCGAGTGCATAACCAGAGGTGGGAAGTCACTTGCCTGTTTCACTTCCACTCCAGCTTTCCCTTAAGTTCTAGTTAGTAATAAATGGGGTTGGTTCGCCTCAAATTTGAGTCATAAGGATGCTTCTTTGTCTGAGTTCCTGTGTGAGACTAAGCAAGAACAAAGAGAGTGTTTCAAGATAGACTCGGAAGGCAGGGGGTCTTGACTTGCACCAAAGTTTAATAAAAGGATCTATAGTCA